TGTTAAAGATGTTTGGTTGTAAACTTGGAGTTGGAAGTGTCTCGGAATATGGAATTTAAATCCAGCAGACTTTGAGGTTGTGGTTCTTTCCCCTTGCCAGAGTGGGGCAGAAAAGTGAAGACCTCAGGTACCTTTTCTAGGGGGAGAGTAGGGGGAGAGTAGTAGGGAGAGTAGGAGAGTAGGAGGCAGAGCTGGGACCTGTGTGCCCAAGCCCTTTCAACCCTTCCGCTCTCCTGTCTCCCTCTAGGGCTCTTTTGAGCATGGGCTGGGGCCCTGGACAAGGATGAGCATGATGGAGGAGAAAAAAAGCCAGAGAAAATTGGCAGCCTTACTTTAAATCTTAAAATCTTGTTGTTTTTCCTTCAATAGAAACTTAGAGGAATCTATTAACATTTTAAATTGACTTTGTTAGCTTTCAAAGTGAAAACTCAGGAGGCCTGTATTTCCTCGAGATAAGTTTTTGCTTTTCTCAAAATTCAGTTTTTAATCTCCAAAGCAACGGTGCATCAGGCAATAACACGGCTTGATGTTGTTGTTCTTATTATGATTTTTCTTACCACTCCCAGGCAAGCAGGAGAGTGGCACGGATTTTGACTACCTGTAATAATGTAATGATTAGAATATATGAATCATCTAGACTAGCTCCATGTTCAATTGCTAATTGAATTTTCTTGGAAAAAAGACTTTTGGTCTCAATATCAGGCTGCCAATCATAAGTTAGAAATGTGGTTGGCATGAAATTTAATTTCAGCTCTTTCCTAGGGAGCCCATGGGTAAAAGCAATATCCCACCTCACCTACGCTGGATACGGTGATCACGGCAATATTAGTGAACATGCAAGCACTGGAGGGCTTACTCTCAACAAGTAATTTCCATGGGAACTACTCATGTATGATCAAGACAAATTTGCATTGTCCCCTACTACGTGTGAAGCCCTAGGCGGGCTCTGGTAGAACCCACAAAGACATCTCCCCCATGGTTCCTGTTTCATATGTAATCATATCGGGGTTTGGGAGGCATATGACAAAAGAGGTAAAATGTTAGACTATTATAAAAGATTTTAATAGTAGTTGTGAGTGGCACATCAATAATAATAATAGCAGCTAGGATTTATGAAGACACCACCCCCCTGAGCCAGGCTCCTTTTAAAAAAGAACAGTTTATCGAGAAATGATCCAACATACCATTAAGTTCACTCCTTAAGCAGGTAATTCAATGATTTTTAGTACATTCAATGAGGTGTGCAAACATTGCCACTTACTCTAGAACAATTTCATCACCCCCCCCCAAAAAAAACCATCTCCCCATTATCAGTCACTCCATAGGCTCTCCTGCCCCATGAGCCTGGCTTCTGAATCCTCTATTTTCTCTGGTATTTACGGCGATCCTTTTAGAGCAGGTATCATGAGCCCCTTTTACAAATAGGAAGCTAATGCTAAGAGCCCAAGGTCGCTGTGGTGGGTAGAATAGTGCTGCCCAAAAGGATATGTCCGACTCCCAACCCTGGTACCTTCAAATGGAACCCTTGGAAAAAGGGTCTTTGCAGATGGGGTTTTGTTAAGGATCTCAAGATGAGCTCCTCCTGGATTGACCGTGGGCCCTGAATTCAACGACACGTGCCCGTAGAGAAAAAGGAGAAGACAGAGACATGTGGGGAGGCGTGGAGGTGGCGGCAGCAGAAACCAGCGACGGGGTGACCAGCCAGGGCAGGCCAACGGTGGCCAGTAGCCGCCAGGAGTCAGGAGCGAGGCATGGGGTGCACCCCCCTCCAACGCCGCGGACTCCGTAACTTCAGACTCCTGGCCCTGAAAACCGTGAGAGAATACACTTCTGTGGCTTTCAGCCCCCAAGCGTGGGGTGGCTTGTTACGGTGGCTCTCGGACACTCACACAGTCACCCAGCTGGTCAGCGGCCCAGCCAGGACGCCCCCAGCGGACCCGGCCCCCGAGCTGTTCCCTCGTCCGTGGCCACGCTGCACGGGCGGCCCTCTCTCCTCGGGCACCAAGGACTCCTCTGAGGAGGGCACAGCTGAGTTCCAAATGCAAAGGCTACCCACAGGCTGGGTGGTCAGCCCGGTGCCCACCGAGGGAGGGTCATCCACTGCCCGCGGGAAACGGGGGGCCCTGAGGGGAGTTTTGGCGGATGGGAGGAACTTGGAGGGTGGGGAGCATGGAGGCCAGGTGAATGGCCTTTGAAGGAGCAAAAGCTGGGAAGAGAGAAAGGTCAGGGTGTGCAAACACCACACACACGAGGGTGTGGGCGGATGGACTGTGGGGGCCGCAGAAGGAAGGGGGGGCACAGGATTTGGGCTTTGTTCTCTGCTTCCATCCTTCACCTTGGCTTTGGCCTTGGCTGCACTGTGGCCTCACCACACACGCTTCCACACCCTCCGAGCTCATGCTTCAAACTCCCCGGCCGAGGGGCCTCTGTTCTTGCTGTCCCCTCTTTCCTCGGCCTTTCCCCTTCTCCACCCCGGGAGCCTCTACAAATCCACAGGCTCCTTTCGTGTAACCAGGGGTGCCCAGCCCTCCGGCTTGTGGGACACAGGCTGCTCGCAGGCCACGGCCGCGTTCCGTTCCTCGGTGTTCCCACCCAACGGCCTGCCACTGTTCCTGCCGCTGCGCCTGGGCTCCAACGACCTTCTGGGCCGATGCATAAGCTGCAAGATTCCGCTCAGCTGACCTTCAGGATGGCCCGGCATCCGGGTCCCTTCCGTGGTTCCTCCGGCGGCTGTGTGCACACGCACTCGCTCGCTACACGGGCCGCCCTCAGCATCGGGCTGCTTTCCACACCCGGGGGGCGTTTTCCCCATTTGTTCTGGTTTTGCTGGCCCGGCGCCGGGACTGGCATGGTCAGTGGGGCATCGGGACAGGAATAGGTGGCCCGCGAACAGCTGTGGGCACGCACGTGGGAGGGAGTGAGAGGCTCTGACTTGGAGGCCATAGGAGCCATGTGGCTTTGCCTGCGGAGGGGTGGCAGGACTTCTGTTATGATCAAGTCCTGTTTTTGAAACATGACCTTCTGGAATGTGCAAGATGACTGTGAAGGGAAGGGTGGAGGCAGGAAGCACGGGTGGGAGGCAATTAAACAATCTTGGAGCAAAGGTTGATCCAGGGTGGTGACGGGGAAATATGAACAAGAAACACTTTCCGTGGAAGCCTGTAGGGGCTGGAGCAGGAGAGGGGTCATCAAAGGTCACCAGGAGCCAAGCTTAGGAGCCAGAGATGCGCTAGACCTTTAATGGAGAAGAGGTAGGAGGGGAGCCCATCGGACGGGCCGAGGAGTTTAGATTCGGACGTTTTGGCATTTTGGGGGAGAGCTGACACTTGACCTTGGGCGACCTTCAGGATAGACAGCAGTGCGGCCCTGCAGAGGGTGCAGATGAGCTGTGATGCCAGCACTGGTTCCCACAGACATTCCCACAGGACCACGGAACGCACCTGTCCACGGGAGGAGGCCAGGACAAGGAGAACCCCGGCCCGAGGTCCTGGGTGTGGCCAGAGGGCTGGAGGGCCGGCACGTAGGCCAGCCCCAGGAGCTGAGGGAGCAGAGGGTCACAGCGCAGAGCTGAAGGTCGAATTAACTTTATCTCCTCTCTAGCCAGTTTCTTCCTTAATATGACCTACTACGCTTTAGAGATGTTTTAAAAATTTGGACTGGCCAAGGGGCACCTCAGTGGCTCAGTCGGATGAGCGTCCGACTCTCGATTTCAGCTCAGGTCATGATCTCAGGGTCGTGAGGTCGAGCCCCACGTCTGGCCCCAAGCAGAGTCTACTTGTCCTTGTCCCTCAGCTTTTTCCCCTGTTCATTCTCTCTCTTTCAAATAAACAAATAAATAAGTAAATAATTTGGATTGGCCAAGACTGTCATTGACCACCTGACGGCTTGGGGAGGGCATGTTTACTCTACCGAGACTGACTGAGCACCTATAACATTCCAGGTTCCAGGCTGAGCCCAGCGCCCCGCCTGCCTGGAAGTCACCGTCTAGCAGATGGGAAAGGGAATGCAAGGCCACCTCTGTGCACCTGACTTTCTGGCCCGTAGACCATGTGGTGACAGGCCATTTAGGCTGAGCTGTGAGATCTGGTAAAAAAACCACATCCATCCAGGTGAGCGACTTGGAGTTAAGGTGTGAGGTGCCAGGAAGGCAGTGAGCACCCGGCGCTGGACGTGTCAGCCTGCAGGAAGGCTGTGGCTCGTTCTCCAGCCTGCCTTGCTCCCTCCATCTGCTCTTTCTCCTAAGATTCCTTTCTCCTCTTACTTTACCAGCTGAGATTTCTGGTTGATTTTTTTCTTTCTTTTTTTGTTTTGTTTCGTTTTAATATTGTTTATTAGCACAGTTAACAAATGCAGACGTAAGTAGTCCACAACATATAACCAATCCACTGAGCAACTCCTATTCCACACCTTACAGTTAACAGCTTAAGGTATTTTACTACAGGTTTTCACAAGTTGTGATTTAAACCTCTTACCTTGTCACAATGAAGTGGATTGGCATATAAAATAAAATACATAACTACTCATTTCCTATATGGTGTCTTACCGCCACGTATCCGTTTTATATATATGAGATGACAGTCTCTAAAAACCATTAAATATCAATGTTCCCTCCCAAGAAGGGAAAACAAATTCCAATTTTTTTGAACAACAAAAAAAAATGTGTAGCCTTGGAAGGACTTTACATAAATGGCCATGGGTGTAACCTGTACAAAATTAAGCTATTTTAAATTTACAGACTATAAGCAAGTGAACCCAAATGTCTACTCTCTGTACTACATTTCAGCTAATATTGCAGAACTAATGACAGTTTTAAAAAGTTGTCATTACCAATTCTGTCTACTGTAGCAAGATACCTTAAGTTACAACAAAATCTTAGGGAATTAGACTGAATAATATCTGTTATAGAAATACCCTACTCTTTACTGTAAACTCCCACCCTCCCCCATCCCACGAAAATTACAAATAGCTCTCTCTGTGACAGACAAATAAGAATTGTGAAAACCCAATTTATGTAGTGTATCTCTTGGTCCACTCTCTGGCCATTCTGTCATGTTCTGCTCTGTTGGTCATATACTGAGTGGCAATACTTCCCACCAAAGTGTCAGCAGGATTACAGTCTGTAAGAAGGAAGCAGACAGAAAGAACTTTAGAAATGGTTAGTGCTGGACTCCAATTATCTTTTAATATGTCCAAGCCAATAACTCCTTGACTGTTAATATTACAGCGATAGATTCTTGGCTGAAATGTAACCTTTGGAGGCTTGAGGGGGTATTCTGGTGTAAAAGTGATATCAAGGAAGGATACAGCACCCTCATACACGGGTCCTGGAGGCCCCAGAATGGTTGATCTCCATTCATAGACGTTATCACCTTTGGGACCAGCACTGCAGTTAGGCGGAGGGTCTAAAGTGATGTCTGCCAGTTCCTTCTGAATCCTCTTGGCGCTGGTAGAGAGGAGTCTGGAGTTTTTGCTCAGGCTGACTTTACGCTCCTTCTTCTTGGGGGTGTTTGTTTCTTTCTCGGTTTGCTGACTGGGGGACGAAGATGAGGAGGAGCTGGTGCTGGCCCTCGAATCGTCATCCGACGTAGCGAACCCCCCTCCCCACCCCGCAAACAGCCCCTCTCTGTGTCTGGCTCCTCTGTGCCATCGCCGCGGCTGCGGCTTGGTTGATTTGTTCAAATGGGTCAATTCAACTTGTCTGTCAAATTGTAAATAATAAAATAATGATGCTGTACAACAGCAGAACTTTTTTTTTTTGTACAATGGTTGCCTCTGCCTTAAATTGCAAATGATTACTTTCATTATAATGGTTATTTCTGATTCTATGGATCATAATTCTACCCTTTGAAAAATAAGTTGATTGACTATTTTTCAATAGTATGGGGCAAGAAGTTTTCCTGCATTCTGTGTTATATTTGATTTCATTATATAAAGTTTAGTGCAGCAAACTTTTTATTATATAGTTTAAAGGAACATAATAATGTATGTACTTATTGGGGGTAACAAATAGACTTGCATCTGAGTATTTGTATGTAATTGAGTTTTTGAAAACTTTTTGTGCTGTCTCCCACATTGAAGGCCGGTGCTAAGAGCTCCAGGAGCTACAAGCAATGTATCAGAAATGTTTCCCGTCATGAAGGTCCTTACAACAAGGTATGTGAATGCACGGCAAGGTATGCCAGTCTACTACCAGTGGAGCGAGGAAGGACGGGTGCCTTAACGCAGGGATGTGACCAGATATTTATAAATCACCTGCTCCGTGGCAGGAGAGGGCTGTCTGTGACAGCACAGGTGAGTCAGGGTCGATCTGCAGGCAGGAGAATCTTTGGGAGGCAGGGGCGGGGCTTCATGCAGGAGTATCCTTTGTTTTGGTGAAGCTTCTAAAGCCAAATGGGAGGTGGGGAGAGCAGCGCGTCCCAGGCAGAGGGACGCCAGGGACAAAGATGGTGAGATGCATGAGGCATGTTCTGGAAACAGCTAGAAAACAGTGGAACTGGTGGGGGCGGGGCTTCCTCCCCATAGAGCTGTGCCTGCCCGTGGCTCTGATGAGCATCACAGGAGAACGTGCAGAGGTGCGTAAATGCGGGAGATGCCTCTCTCTCGAGACAGAAGCTGTGCCTCGGAATGGGGTGACAGTGTCCTCTGGTGCGGGGATCTGTAGCTCCGAGCTGCGGCATCAGGACGAGGCCCCCGATGGTGGAGCCTCAGGTGGGCGCTCTGCGCAATGGTGACGTTAACACTGCCCCTCCCCTCAAGAAAGCAGAAACTGTAATGATGACGGAGAAGAAAGTCCGGCATCCCCTGCGTGTGTCTTCGACACCCCCAGGGACATGTGTGTGTGTGTGCACGTGTGTGCACGCATCTGACAGTGTGCTAGTATGTGCGTGTACGCACACAAGTGCGAGTGTGTGAGCGCATGGTACGGCGGTGTACGACGGTGCAAGTGTGCGCGCGTGCAGGAACACAAGTGCAGGCATGAGCGTGTAAGTGTGAGTGCATGTACGCTTTGTGCTCAAGTAGCTTCAGCCCCATTTAGAAGTAAAGTTAGTATTATGACCCATCCTAGTTTACAACCCTAGATACCAGTTTCCTCATCTATGAAGTGAACGGTGGGTCTGTGAAACCACAGGTGGTTCCTTCAGAAATTAAGCCTCATTCCAACCACTGTGCATGCAGGTGATGGGAGATCTCTTGGCTTATCCCAAAAGCGTGAGCCCCCAAGACTCCGTTGTGCCAGACGGGAGTAGGAGCAGAGAGGGTGGAGCAAGAGAACAAGAAGTGGTGAGAGACGGTGTCTTCCCTCAAGGAGCTCAGGCTCCCGCCAGAGAGCTGGATGGGGATGGCATTTATGCATAAAATCAGGACACAGGGACGTGCTGTTCTGATGCTGCAACAGGAGCGTGCCAGGGATGGTGTGTCCTATGACAGAACACAGCAGGCAGCACCTCTAGGGTGGGAGCAGACTTCTGTCCCCAGCACCGCGACAGCTGGGCCCCTGTGCAGTGTGGTGGGGAGGAGTCCCCGATGCCCACGGGGGTGCTGTGGGTTAGGTACTTCCGGGCAGGGGGCGTGAGGCACGAAGCAGGGAGAGAAAATGAGAGTCTAGAACGTCAAAGGAGAGTCATGCATCTTTGTGATGGAACCGTGCTAACGAGGACGGAGCCTTTGGGGGAGACATATGATATAGCAGAAAATTAACTTATGCCTGAACTTTGCCTTTAACTTGGAGTCCTTTCAAAGTAAGAATAGACTCCACGGCTGAACTCATTTTTATGACCTGTTTTCCACGTTGCACTCCATCCTCTCTATTAAAGAGCTGTTCCCTCTTTAATCCTGCTTTCTACTGGGATCTTTATGCTTTTCTCGCTCCTTATCTTTCCCCCCTCGAGCTTCAAATGAAGAAGGCTGACTTGCTTGCTTCCCTCCTCTCTTCTCCCTTCCAGGACGGAGTCTGTTCTTGCTGCCCATCTTTGATCCAACCGTTTTGAAGCAGTGCAGGACGTTCCTTCTCTGCTTTTTCTCTGCAAAGCTGTGATCTGCTGGGCTCTAATTAATGTGTCTCCTAGGACATTTGAGTTTCCCCCCACGTTCTTAGATCTGAATGTGTTTTTGAGTCACGCCATACTGAACATAATTTTTAATGCCTATTGTTCTTTCTCTAAATCCATGGGACTGGTGCCATGATGGCGGCATCTCCCCTTTATCTCCAGTCTCAATCGATTCTTCTTGCAGTGGGCAGTTGATCCAGCAGAGCTTTTTCTCTGGTCTGATTCTCTACTTACAAGATCTCAAGGTTGACTCCATAACTCCAGCATTTCTCTGTGGATGCACGGTCTGCTGCTTTTCTAACAGCAACGCAAAGAGCTGGGAAGTCCAAATTCTCAGGAGTACCACCCACGCTCAGTGTCCCCCATCACTGTCCCCACCCCTCCTGGTGGCCGAAATCAGACGACGCAGTACCTACTCTTCTGACTTTTCCTAAAACGCCAGCCACACATAATTTTACAGCATTCCTCTTTGCCACATGATGGCCTGTGCCAACTACCCCAGAGGGAACATCGTCCAGGTGCTGGAGACGAGAGGTGGAGGCTGAGACGCAGATGCTGCTCAAACTGGGCAGAGAGGTTGACCTCTCTGTGTGGGAGGACAGGTACCCGCGCCTTTGGTGGGCAGCCCGGGGAAGAAGGATGGGAGTTGTGACAGAGGGGCATGGCCAAACACAGAAGGCAGATTTATCCTATTTGAATATTACTCTGGGAATACTCTATCCGATTGTTCCTCTTCATTTTTTATTTTTTAAATTTATTTTTTAAAAGATTTATTCATTTTAGAGAGAGAGCATGAGTGGTAGGGGCAGAGGAAGAGGGAGAGAGAATCCCAAGCAGACCCCACGCTAAGCTCAGAGCCTGACCCTGGGATCACGACCTGAGCCAAAACCAAGAGTCAGATGCTTAACTGACTGAGCCACCCAGGCGCCCCCTTCTCTTCATTTTTTAAAACTAATGAATTAGTATCACTGGTTTGTAAGTTGTCTTATTTAAAAGGAGCTTCTAGGAATACCTGGGAGATACCCTTTCTCTTTACCCATCAAGTGTTTGATATGCCTGTGAAAATCACCTGAAAATTACCAGACCAATCCCGATGCCTCTACTAATGCCTGTTCTCAGTTCTGATGGTCTAACATTTCTTCACAGATGTGTAGAAGCCATTGTTGGAAGAAGCCTGTTTGTTTCTTACTCTTCTGGCCCTCATTTGTTCTTTCTCTGGCAAAAGCTCCCTGGTTTTCCTTGGTGCACTCACCCGCCCCACTTCCCTTCCTTGGGGTTGGGTGTGGTTCACCCCCAGCCTGACCCAGGGAGTTAAACCAGAGCGTCATACCCACCACTGGGACACTGTGATTGTTTCAGGGATGGGCCTATGACCCAGTCAGGGCCAATCAGATGTGTTTTGGGGAGCTCTGCTGAACTTGAAAAGAGGGGCCCTCATTCTTCTACTTGCCCTCTGAAGCTGTAAGCCTAGGGTTGCCTGCAACCCCTCTGTCACCACAAAAAAATAAGCCATGTGTAAAAATAAAACCAACACAGAAGAAAGTAGAGGCTAGAGTGGCGAGAGAATGGACTCTGATAGCATTGGTTAGACCCTGGATCCAGCCATGCCTGAAGCCACCTCTGGCCTTTTAAGTAGCATGACTCTACCTCCAAGTTTTGTTTGTTTATTTGCCAGTTCGAATTAGCTTTTCTGTTCTTTGCACACTTTGACCTTTATGTTAACTTGAAGGCTAGAAATACCTAGCCGTCAATAAGTGGCTTTGAACAAACAGGTCCAACTTTCAGGCTCCAGAGAGGTGCAACAGTAAAGTGTGGACGTGTGGGTTTTCCCTTTCCAGGTGTGTATTAGAGACTCTCCACTTTTAAGCGTGTTGGATACCACACAGGGTAGGGTGACTGTGATTTCCACGTGTGATCTTTGCCGCCTGGTCCTGTGTGCGTGCGCCGTGTTTCCCTTAGGAGGAGTACAGCTTTGCATCGCATTAGCCCGGAAGTCCTGCATGGACATAGCTCCCGACTGGCCCATCCCAGGATCAAGGAACACGAGGCAGTGTCAAGAGTCTGACGCTTCTTCCTCTGGCTGCTCACTCAGGGTCAGGCGCAGGATTGGCTTTCCTATAGGTCACCGCATTCATTTTCAAAACCACCGCTTCAGCTAGAGACGCTATTCCATTTCCACGCAAGGAGACGGGGGCTCAGAGAGGTCTGGCCGCTTGCCCGCTGTCACCCAGCTGGTTCGCTGCTAGGGCTGTTGTGCTCCAGGGTGGAAACACCCACTGCTGGCCGCAGATCATCCATCGCGGACCCCCTCCGCCACTCCCCCGTCCCAGACGCCATCAGGCCCGACCCCGTCCTACCCTCATGTCTGCCCCCCTCTGTCCCCCAGGAGCCCGAGCTCTGGTTTTTCCGTCGAGACGGGGCCCTGCCTCCACACAGCTCTTTAACCCCTCACTGACCCCATTCTTACCCCTCCCCTCTGCCCTCTCCCTTTCCCACCGTGCTCTTGGGACTCACGGTCCGTCCTCAAACTACCCTCCCCCCGACCTTCCCTCCTCGCCCCTGCTGAAACGCAGCTCACCCCGCTGCGCCCTGCCCCCTGCCAGCCTTCCGAGAAGACGCTTCATCGTTCCAGGTCCCTCCCTCGCACACCTCGGTCCATGGGGAGCGGCTGTCCTCTCTCGGCGTCTCGTCACTGGCAAACGCTGCCCTCCCCTGAGCGCCCAGCATGCCTGCCGGGCTCGCTCGTGTCTGGGGGGCCCTACCTCGTGAGGGGCTTTCCCACGGCTTCCTCGGCAGCAGGAGCTTGGTGCCTTCATGCCTTTGTGCCCCACACTACCTCAGGAGAGCGAGTCTCAGACACAGAGCACCCTCCGTGGGGAAGGAAATGGTCAGAAGCTTATGCAGATGCCAGAGGCACCAGCCTCTCTAAGCCCTTGAAGAAGCTTCCGGACTCTTGCTTGTCTGCAGGTGCCAGCTCTGCCCGGGCTCCCATCACTCGGCAGGATCCCTGGGAAGGAGTCCAGCGGAGCTCTGCCCCTCTACATGCTCCGCTTACAGTCTGTTTTCAGCCCAGCTGCCAGAGTGACCTGTGTGAACGTTAAGTCAGACCGCAGCACGAAGTTCCTGTGACCCCCGTCACAGAGAGCGGAGAGGCCAAGGCCCTTCTCCTTCTCCTCCGACCTCAGCTTCCCCTGCCTCTTCTCCCTCCTCCGCCTCAGCCACACCAGCCACCTTGCTGCTCTGCCAACCCGGGCATTTTCCTGCGTCAGGGGCTTAGCACATGCTGTTCCCTCTGCCAGGAACGTGCTTCCTGCAGACGTCCGCACGGCTCACTTCACCTCCTTCGGCACCCGCACTGAGGAAGTGCTCGAGGAATGTCTGCTGAAGGAACGATTAACAACAGGAGAGCAGCCAATCCAACGGCAACAAGATAACTCTGCTTACATGTCGGATTAGCAGATGTTTCAAAGTTCAATAGTGTCCTATAAATGGTGTATCAAAAATGCTTTATGAAAGCAATGGTGTGCCGAGATATGTGTGCGTACACACTCAGTGGGGTGAACCAGAGATTTAAGTTTCTGTCTCCTGACCTGCAGAGAAGATGTGACCTATTTTTATAAAAATAGAGAAACACACACATGCGTGGGGCTCTGCCTCCACAGGACGAGGAGAAAGCTAGGACAGCCACCCGTGCCGCTGCCATGTTTTGCCCGAGTGGAGTGGAAGAGGGTGGATGGGGGAGGGTTAGCTTTTTGTACAATTTGTTGAATTCCAGTGGTAAACACTGAAAATACACCAGATATGTCAGGGACTGGGGAGGACGTGAGGAGAGAAAACTCTCAGCTCTGACGGCCAGCGTGGGAACCAGGACAGGCACTTGGAAGAACAAAGTGGCAGGACTGTTGCTGGTAAAAGTGAAGGCCCTTCTGCCTCCGCACGGCACCTGCTCTTCCCGTCCCCTGCCACCCCCCCAAGGCCGGGTGCACAGACGCACAGACCCCCTGAGGCCCCTGGCACAACCAGTGTGGTCTGCAATTGAGAAAAGCAGGAAACCACCTAAATGCACATCATGGAGGCTGTGAAGAGATATGATGTGGCGAATTCAAGCATATTTGTCCAAGGAAGGAACCAGCCCCATGTGAGCCAAGGAGGATGGATGTCAAAACAGTGCTGAAGACAAAAGCAACTTGCAGAGTGAGACAGGATGCCCTCTCTTGACATCTGTAAATTGTGCAGGTGACCTGGGTCATGAAGAATGGGCAAGAGCCCGGAAGGATGCATGTTCCACGTTAAGAGAGGGCACCCGGGCGTGGGGAATGGGATCAGGATGGGCGCTGGAGGGTGCAGTGGAAGGGGCTGGCTCTGGGGGGCACAACTGAGGGACTGCTCTGCTCTGTGCCCCTGACGCGCAAGTGAAGAGAGAGGAGCAGACACAAGGGCAACGAGACTGAGAAGCAGGGCCTGCGCGGCTGGCACCGGCAGGAGAGCCCCATCCTCGGGGGTGGCGGCCCCACGCAGGGACAGGCATTTCCCTGGCGGGTGTGTCCCACAGCCGGGGTGGGGGGCTTCTCCGGGCGCCGCGGGCTGGGTGATGCTGGGGACTTATTCATAGATGCCGCCGCTGTCCATAAGGTGCGGCCACGGGGACTCGTTATTAATTGAAGCGTATTTGTGAAATGCCTGCGTGTGTCAGGGTGAGTCTGAGAGTGCCCGTCTCCCGTTAGCGTTCGGTGAGGCTTCTGGCTTCATCCGCAGCTGTTCACACCCTGACAAGCGCCGGGTAGCCACACTTCCCTCCCACTTGCAGAGCTTGACTGACGTGTGTGTGTGTGTG